CTAAATTATTTAAGACATAATTCTTCCTTAAACTATATTTGTGAACCAACATTATTTTTTAAAAATATTTCTAACAAAACTAAGTAGTATGAGATATATAATTTTTGAAGCTTTTATTTTTTAAATAATTTTAAGAGTTTTGCAAATTTAATTTTTGTTTTTGAAATTCAAAACTGAAACTATAATAATTATTATTTTTAATGAAAATTTTCATTTTTTAGGAATTTTTTGGGATTTCTTTCGATTTTTATAAATTGTTTAGAAATAAATACCGAATCAGATCAAATTTAACAGATAATTTGCCCAGTCTATCAACAAATAATTGTGTGAGTGTGTCAACGCTAGGCAGCAATATTAAATTCGTATATTTTTATAAGAATGAAATAATTAATTTTATTAGTTATATGCCAAAAAAATTGGTTGCCAACTTGTGATTTGGACTCGTTTGATTATAGCAATAAATAAATAAAGTAGGAAAAGGCCAAACAATAAAAAAAAAAACTTATGTTACGGAAATCAATTCGTTTGTAATAATAGTCAACACCAATTCGACACTTTCACACTTGAAATAATGAATATTTTTTTGTCATCGCAAATTCATATTTCATGTTGAGATATATATATTTAACAATAATGCAATTGAGCTTCGAACATAATATTTTTCACCAACTGACTGGTCTTTTTCTACTATTATACATGGAGGAAATTGCAAAGATCAAATATAGCTTTTGTCTCTTTAATCTACTTTTCTTCTTTCATATTTCATGTAATTTGAATTCCAAAATTGATTGTATAGCACATATATTCCGCAGATTCATGCTCATGATTTTTCTTGTTTACCAATTTCTCATCGTTAGGATTTCTAAAATGTTTTTTTTTTTTTTTTGTCATCTAGAATATTATATTAAACCCGAGGAATACATGACGGACTACAAGATCTAATACAAGTTCACTACAACAACAAAGCCAACGGAAGACAAACTTCCCTGGAGACATATACAGGACACTAGAACC